AAAAAAATATACGCGAAACCGGCGGTTTAAAACCGGACCAAACCGTTAGGTTTAGGTTTGAGTTTTTTTCAAACCGGTCAAAACGGTTTGGTTTAGGTTTGAGCTTTTCTCAAACCGGTCAAAACGGTTTGGTTTGAAAATTTGTCAAAAACCGCAAAAACTGGACCGCTTACACTCCTAATAATAACCATCAAACGGGGGCTCAGTTGTCGGTGTTTTCTGTTTAAGGATAAATTTCACTTTGTATAAAGATGAAATATAAACCGGCTACTTCTCTTAATAATGTTGATTTTTTAAGATGAAATTCCAAATTTTAATATTGTCATCTCATTTTGGATGATAAAATAATGAAATAATGGATGTAATGCCTATTGAGTGTTAATGTGATTAATTTAGCAAAAAAATATATATTGACAATAGAAGAGAAATTAACCTTACGAAAGTAACGAGAGTAAAGTTAGGCCATGTTCATACGAGGGGCAATGTGACGTTAGGGATGACAACGAGACTGGTTGGTCATTCCCACCCCCATCTCATTGAGTATTTTTGATACCTTACCTCATAAGCGAGGCGGGGCGGAGCCATTCATTTTTTCTTTTTATTATTTATTTATTTTATTTTTTACATTGATTTTTATTTTTTTAATGTTTTTTCTTAGTAAATATTATTACTTTTTTACCAATTTGTTAGAAACAACTTATATTCTTTTTAAAAATACAATAAAGCTATTATTTTTATTTGATAAAAAATCTAAATTTAAAATTAACTTTAAACAGGACGGATAACGAGTAGGGCTGTACCCGCTTCGGGGCAATGACTCTCATCCCGTTCTCGCTTTATTTACTCAATTAAGCGAGTAATTTTCGTCTCGATCGAAAAAGGACCCCACAAATATCGAGTTGAATAGATTTTTTCGCCATATAGGTGGGATGCCTGTCTAGCAGGGCCCAAATAACAAATATCCCAGCAGGAAACTAAATCTGAGCAGCCGCTTTGTCCACGACTGATCTCTCTCGATAAGCCAATAAATACTTGGTATGATTTTGTACATTATTCAAGTTATACATAATATTTTATATATATCTTTGGATAAATGAGAATTATAGTACTTATATATTGCAATAATTGGTCAAATTTAAAAAATAGTCCATAGCAGAGCAGCAACGATTGATTACAAGGAATGAGGTCAACTATGAAACTTTCAAGAAAGAATTCCACAAACTTGTACTGCTTAAATTGATGAGCCTTCTTACGTTGAAGCAAAGATAATTAGACCACCCTTACACTTTCAGATTCAGTAAAAGACAGCAAAATACCGGTTATATACTGCCCTTCATTTCTTGCTGCTCATTATCAATCTTGAATGTTGGTGGGTATTGACTAAATTCATGGTACAATAAATAGGTACTTCTTTTCTATCCGAACTCAGAAGTCTAATCTTTCTCTCTCTTTTATGACTTGATTGATGATTCCGTTTCTTGATTCTCCTGTAAATTTAACAAGACTCGTTGATGTTATAATTTGGGGCAGATGCTTTTCTAATCTTTGTCCATTAGCAGTTGACAAGTTGTGATTCTGTTTAACCTTTACTACTTTTCTATTGTTCAAGTGATCAAAAGATAACTGAATTAGCTCATTTTCTGTTGCCACTTTCTTGTTGCTTATAAGTGAAGACAATAGGACTTTCTAATTTTGGCTTAAATAGGCTACGAGACGTCGACTGTTGTAAGAGATGGATGCAAATCATTCCATTTATGGATTTCTGCTTTTCTTTTTCATTGGATTGTATGCTTCCTTTCAATGCTGCGCAACTGAGATTGGTGCAAACCAGACAGCATGGTTGTTTGTAAATGCTTCTCAAATTTCAGCGAAAATGATACCACAGACAATGTTTGGTATATCGTTCGAGGTGAGTTTGCACTCTCCGATGAAATTATATTCGGTACTTCAAAATATGTCATTTGGTGCTATTATAATTCCAGCTAGTTAATTTTTCCTTTGAATGTTTAACATCTTTACTTTATTTTTCTTGCATATGAAACTTCTATTTACCCTAATACAATTGGCAAAATGTTATTCAGGAGATTAATCATTCTGGTGCCGGGGGGCTGTGGGCAGAGCTTGTCAATAACAGAGGTCAGTTTGAATTTTGTTGGAAGTATTCAGAAAGCAGCAACTTCTGAAATTAAACATCCATTAGAACTTGGGGTTCGTTTGATAGGCAAAGGTGGAAAGGAATTCCAATTCCATTCTAGTTGGAAAATAAAAATCCACCAAACCCATAGGAATTCGTTTTCCTCGGATGTGACATTTTCCATGGAATTCGTTGCAATCAAATAGACCTTAGGAGATTCCGAACTACTCAAATTTTAATCTATTTCTCGTGGATCTTTAAAAAAATTTGGGATGAATATCCTCACTCAGATTTATACTTTTATGGAAGTGCTATAGTGGATCTGGCGCTTCTATTTAGTGAAAATAAGCCCTGTCTACTTGAATTATGAGAATTTCCCTGGTCCCTTCCTTTCTGGGACTGCATGATGTGTTCCTAGTTAGCAACAAACATTATAGTACTTGTAAATTTCTGGATGTTTTCTGGTAAAAAATAAGATATCTCCAGGTTTTGAAGCCGGGGGCCAGAACACTCCATCAAATATTGGTCCTTGGTCCATCCTCGGGGACGAATCATTGTTAATTGTATCGACAGAGCGTGCTTCGTGCTTTGACAGAAATGAAGTCGCACTTCGGATGGAGGTGCTGTGTGATAAGGATGGTGATAATATCTGTCCAGCCGGAGGAGTTGGTGTTTATAACCCTGGATTCTGGGGCATGGTAAGAAACTTTTTTCCCTACTTCCCAGATTTGTGTTGATTTTCAACAAGCCCAAATTGTCGTCTTATATAAATAACGAATCTCTATATTTATGCAACAAAAAAAAAAAAAAGAAATTGATAAAAAAGAAAAATATAAGAAATTCTTTTTTTCTTCGGCATGTGCAAGATTCAGACAGAATTCATTTAGTTAGTAAGGAGAATCAGCATGAATCAATCACAATGGTGGTATATTCAGATCAGTGTTGATATCTTGACATTGTGCAAAAGTTTCCTTTTCAGCCTCCAAGATATAAGCCATAACTAGAGGGTGTTTATTTTATAACTTATTTGATTAATCTACACTATACATACTTAATACACTGTAGTACGACTAGATCATGTTTGAGATTTTCTACGCCTCATAATATTACAAGAGCACACTACCTGCTGTGTTAAGTGTTCGTATTTGTCTATTAAGTTTTAGGGATAGCATAGCTGAATACTCTAAAATTGTGTTTTCTGACTGAGAGAGAACGTTTTCCCAAGTTTAAGACGCTCACAAATAAGTAAATAAGAAAATAAATAAGTTTTCCTTTTGTGTCTAAGTTAGAAAATTTAAGTTGCTTCTTTTGACCATAAGGTAAAAATTACTTGAAAAAAAACCCGTATTTTCTTTTACTCAGAAGTAGGGAGATAGTTATCCAAATGTTTGGAAATGAACTTTTTCTTTTTACTCAAGCTTAAGCCAAACTCAGGTTTTATTGTAAGTCTTGATAATCCTTTTTTTTTTTATAAATATCTTGTTCTTGCAGAATATTGAAGGAGGAAAGAAATATAAAGTTACCTTTTATGTGCGTTCGTTGAATCCCCTCGATATATCTGTTTCATTTATTGGTTCAAGTGGACTGCAGACACTAGCCACAGCCAACATCATGTGAGCATAGCTCATAATTTCTACTCCTCTGATGTTATGAATTTCATATCTTATATCCATAATTTCCTCTACAGAGCAGCTGATGTTTCAAACTGGACAAAGGTGGAAGTTCAATTGGAAGCAAAAGGAACAGATTATAATTCAAGATTGCAGCTCACGACGACAAAAAAGGGTGTTATATGGATCGATCAAGTATCAGCAATGCCTTTGGACACCCACAAGGTGTTTAAACTCAATAGTTTCTCCTCAAAATAAAGATGATACTTTACGCTATGATTGATCTCGGTAGTTGTCGTTGTTGTTTTTTTTTTTTATATGGTGGTTTGAACTTCTAAATATTCTAAATTTTAAGTCCATTCTGAGTTCTGATTTGACGGTGTGAGGTATATTTCATTAACTAACTTGATCTTAACTTCATTTTATTTCTTGGCATAGGGACATGGTTTTCGTAATGATCTTTTCGACATGATTGCAGATTTGAAGCCAGGATTTATCAGGTTCCCAGGTACTTCAAATATTAGTTTGTAACTTGTAATTTCTTACGTAGTATATAACATGTTTGCACAATGATGTTTAAACAAACAAAAACCAGATTCTGAAAAGCTTGTTTATTGTGCTTTTTGGCAGGCGGTTCTTTCGTTGAAGGAGAATGGCTGGTGAATGCATTTCGATGGAAAGAAACAGTTGGACCATGGGAAGAGAGACCTGGACATTTCGGTGATGTTTGGCAATATTGGACTGACGATGGACTTGGTTATTTTGAGTATCTTCAAGTAATGTGTGATCCCCATGCAGCACAACAAAATTCTCAATAATTTCTGATGTATCCTTCTCATTTCATATGGATGTTATTGTTCTGCTTTCTACAGCTAGCAGAGGATTTAGGCGCATTGCCAGTTTGGGTATTCAATAATGGTATAAACACATCAACTTCGATTACTTTCTTTTTATTGTTTTCCAGTAATATATTGATCTTTCGTACTTCGTTGATTTTCAGGAATCAGTCATAATGATCAAGTCGATACTTCCGTCATTTTGCCTTTCGTGCAAGTAAGCCATTACAGAAAGTTCAAGAATTGTCAGTATAAGATACGATTGAACAGCACAATAATCATGATTTTAGCTGCTTCTTTTTCTTCAAAATTATCCAGTACTGCTCAGTCGACCTTTCTAAACAAACATGCCATGCGAGTAATTCGATGCTCAAATATCTTTGTGATGCTTGAAAAAATCTACAATCTCATCTTGGAATATTGATTGTTTTTACTGTAGAACATTCTTGATGCTATTGAGTTTGCTAGAGGAGATGCTGCCTCTCCATGGGGTTCTGTTCGAGCTACAATGGGACACCCAGAACCCTTTGATTTGAGATACGTTGCCATTGGGAATCAGGATTGTGGGAAGAAAAATTATCGAGGTAAGGAGAATTTTCCTACAAATTAATGCTTTTCTTTTGGTTATTCAATCTTTACATGTTAGAAGAGGGAGAATTTGATTGCATTTAATTTTCGAGTTTCAACTAACTCATATTTTCACACGAATTAGGAAATTACCTCAAGTTTTACACTGCAATAAAATGCGTCTATCCTGATATCAAAATAATCTCAAACTGTGACGGGTCTTCTAAACAATTGGATCACCCTGCTGATTTATATGATTTTCATGTAAGGTTTTCAACTTCAACATTACTAAATTACTCTCAGAATTCACATATCCTTTGGATGCCATAAAATTTGGTTCTGTTTCTGTGGTTAGGTTTATACAGATGCAAAATCTATGTTTTCAATGGCTCACAACTTCGATCATACATCGCGTAGTGGTCCAAAGGTGCTCTGAGGTGTCTCACAACTGTTTTAAGGATTTATTTTCTTTTGGGTAATGGTTCTTACAAGTCTGCTGAATTACAGGCTTTTGTGAGCGAGTATGATGTAACCGGACAAGATGCGGGTAAAGGAAGTCTTTTGAAAGCACTTGCAGAAGCTGGATTCCTTATAGGGCTAGAGAGGAATAGGTATGCCAATTTTCCATGGTACTGCACTACTGCATCGATGGTTGCATTTATTTATACATTGACATAACAACAATTGATTTCCTGTGTAGTGATGCTGTTGAAATGGCGAGTAACGCACCTTTGTTTGTGAATGCCAATGATCGGAGGTAAATTGAATTTCGTGTACCTGAATATTGGTCTATGATGAGTGTCCTTAAACAGAGGTTTTGTTTCATGTTTAGGTTCAATGCAGATGCAATTGTTTTTGACTCTTCACGGAGATATGGAACTCCTAGTTACTGGATGCAGCATTTCTTCAAAGACTCGAATGGTGCAATTCTTCTCAATTCCACACTGCAAGCTAATCCCTCAAATTCTCTTATTTCATCTGCTATTTCTTGGCAAAATGCAAAGGACAACAAGGATTATTTGAGGATTAAGGTTTGAATACATTCTTGATTCACAAGATACTTTAAAATTCTGCTTATAACTACATTGTATCAGCATACAAGAATTATCTGTTCAAATTTGTTTCTGTTCTACTGTGTATTGCATCAAACTGCCAGAAGTAGGGCACTGTAAATCACCTGTAAATGATGTCTAATAGGACGAGCGTAGTGGTGTCAAAGTGGGCCGGGCTCATAACTTGAGCTGCAGAGCTGTGCAGGATGGCCAAAAAAACCTACTGTCTGATAGGCTGGACTAGATAGTAGTAGACACGATTAAAGAAGGAAAAAAGGTTAAAATCTTGTCCAAGACAATTATTGCAATGACGTTCAATACTGCATAACAAACATGCCTTTATAGTTTCATATGTAAAACTGCTGTCGATATAAGACACTTTTTCACCCTAATTTTAGCATAGGCAGTGAATATATTTATTAGACACCTTTTCATCTTCGGTCTTGTGTTAAAACACACTTTTGATTATTATATTCAATACAACTTTCTCTCTTACGAGCGTCCATTTTCACTTTTACTTTGTGTTCATATGCTAAGTATCTTGTCCAGGTTGTGAATTTTGGGAGCAACAGAGTAACTCTTAATATTTCTATTGATGGGTTGGAAGGGAACGCCATACAAGAAACTGGCTCTGCAAAGACTATATTGACATCTACTAATGTGAAGGATGAAAACTCTTTCAATCAGCCAAAAAAGGTACGATCCATCTTTAAATTTGGGTGCAATCAGTTGATTCTCGTAGTTGTAACTTGAGGAAGAGACATTTCCTTAACTGCCTGGTCTAAAAGCTTTATCTTGTCCTCCCGCTCTTATAGTTTAAGCTTTTATTAAATGGTTCAACATGGTATCTCTCGCCTTCACCCATTTGTCAAAATTATGCACATTTCATTTATCTTAATTGAAAGGCTTGCTGGCTCAAAGTAAAGTTTCCTCTTTTATTATTAAATAAATGCAGGTGGCACCAGTTACAATCCCACTAGAAAAGGCTGGCAACGACATGGATGTTATACTTCCTCCATTTTCTTTAACTTCCCTAGATTTGTTGAGAAACTCAAACATTGTCCAGGTTGCAGGATCTAATTCTGCCCAGCAAGCATACTAATTTATGTATTGATCAATAAATTATTGATAGTATTTATCTAAATATCTTTCAATATTAAGTTGCCGTTCAGACTAATTGCGTCTCTGGTTCACCTGTGTACTTTATATTCATTATGAGAATGCTTTGCTCATCTGATAACAAGTATGTTGGAGTTAATAGAACAGATGAACCCCACAAGTAATTATATTCGAAAGATGGATAATTAATTGAACATATTGATGTTTTTATGAAATAACAAATGTTAAATGTAACAAGTCAGCAGTGAACCTGCAGGATTCTTTGAGGCGAAGTCTAAACATTCTTGTTCTTATTCAACTTTGGAGGTGTTGATTGTCCCTTCTTCCTCAGCTGACACTTCCTAACAAGCTTCCTTCTCCGTAGCCTAATATTCTTCCCCAGCTTTCACCCTCATCTTCGGTTCGAGCTTTAGCTGAAGCTTGGATTCCAAAGGAAGGTTTTGTATTTGCAACTTTCCGCACTTACTGAGAAAGGAGTAAGAGACTCGGGATCATCGGAAACAGTTCCGGCACCATCAGACAATGTCAAAACAAGTAATCCACGTGTTCCTTTGAGAATAAGGGGTGTTTGAATTCTGTATCTGATTTTGGCTGCAGGGGCATAAGGGGGACTTAACGTCATTCTCACCTTGCTCCGACTTATCACCGACAGTCTGTTCAGAGTTTCAAACTCAACGTTGATAACTAAACACGAGGGTTGCACTCGTTGTAGGACTTAACCCTGCATCTTATTGCATGAGCGGACGACAGCCATGCACCACCTGTGTGAGTAACGAAGTGATTGCTAAACCTGGACACTAACAACACAATATATGTTAATGCGTGTCAAAATAAAATTAAGACCAGATGTTCAACATAATGTCTCAAAGATAGTACCAGGAAAATGATAGAACATAGCTGCATTGACCTCATTGTACAAAATGAATGCATCAAACCCAGATGCTAAGGCCGTAGTGCATAGTATTGTTGCAAGAACAGATAGAATTAATGCAGAGATATAAGATACAGAAGCCAAAAAAAAAAAAGCAAAAATGTTTTCTTTCTCGAATAAAGGGGCAGAAGGAAACCCAAAATTTTAATCAAAAATTGTTTATAACTTACATGGATGATCAGAGATTTCAAAAAAAAGGACGGTTGAGAATAAAATGCCTATTTGGAAAGCATATTGTAATTTCCGTGGAAAGGATTTCACCTTGAAACCAAAAATTGCTACAACCCAGTACTACGAAAAATGTATTGCTCATGTTGGGTCTGCTGACAAGAGGCATATTCAATTCCATTTTAGTTCAAGCCAAGAGAGACCATTTGGAGCAGTTCTTGCAAACTGGATTTATAACCCAGAAATAATGATGGAAGTCATGGTTATGTTCGTAGCCGATGTCGAGTTGTCGTTATCCAAAAAATTATTGATGATTAAAAAAAAAAAAAAATGTAGTAGTGTCATCTCCTTTACTTTTGATTTGTGATCCAAAAAAAATTATAAAGGGTATATTTGCATCACCACCTATTCTATCAATAATGCTATGTAGCCTTAGTGGGGTTGCATCTCCAGTCTAGATGTCATTAAATAATTGGTTAAATGATAGGTGAAATTAAACCTATTATTTATTGTCACATTAACCCCACCTAGACTGAGGATGGAACCCCAGTGGGGATGAATAGTATTGCTCCTATTCTATCGATAACTTTAACATAATGCAAAAATTAATAATTGCATTTGAAATCCTTGAATTTTCACACAACACAAAGGGCACATTACATGAATTTTGATACAAGGATAAGGTCAGCAGTTTCACTTTTGATAATGCAAGTGTTAACATAAATGTTAAAAGAAAAATTGATTAATCAGCTCAATCCGAATTTCGTTATATATGTTCGTTTAATTTGATTATGAAAGATGGGACTCTAGTATATTGCATGACAACTCACAAAAATTAAACAATTTTTTCTCCATCTCACAAACAAGCATTTGAGAGTATGTGTAAATGCGAACTTAACCGGCAAGATGTTCGCAACAGATAGAGGTAACATGTGAAACTCTACTTATCTCATGCTACAATCATGTATTAATTTATTACTTATTTTTATTAGTATGCATTCATACAATTCTGATTATGATTTAAAATCCAATTACTGGTTAGTTGCTTATGAGATAATAATTTTTTTGAAGGTTTTCTTCGATGAAACCAATGTATGCTACTCCCGTTATTCTTATTCATTTCTTTTTACTCAGCAAAAAAGGTTAGTAAATATAGATAGTGCTCTTTTTATGACATTATTGCTATCATAGAGATGAAATTGGTAAATATTGGGAGGATTGGTCCATATTATTCTCTTATTAACATATATGTAAGGTGGTCTAGATATTACCAAAAAAATTTCTTTGTATTTAATATTTAATATCCCCATTACACACTATGATATAGAAAATACATGGTGTAATTTGTATTCACAATATTCTGCCAAACACGGTAGAATTTTGATATTCTCGCATGATGATGAACAAATAAAAATAACATTCGATATTATCTTTGATTCACATGACCTACTAAGATCTACTGTGTCAACTGTAGCGTCGAATGATACATTTAGTGTAGGGATATGGTTGCGTCAGACGAAAGAAGCATGTTGAAAGAAAATATATTTGATGCTCTAATGTGCTTGAAAGACTGAAAGAAAATACATTTTTATTACGCCCTTTACCGACCCCATTTTTATTCGAACGATCGACACGCCTTGATAAAACCATCTTGATGTGGGTTTATAAGGATTTTGGGGTTCAAAAGAAGCTACTATTGTGAAAAAAAGTATGGAGAAATTATGAACTGATAACTTATATGGAGATGTTTCACTAGCGATGAAGTCCTTTGATTTCTAATCTCCCTCGATGAACTTGGAATAAGCGATTCAAGTATGGCTTCTCTCTCTCTCTCGGAAAGTGGATGATATTTGAAAGTTTCTCTCTCCCTCTAATCGGTGATGTAATGATAAATTAGTTAGGATCATGCTACTTGTACATTTTTTTTACACTGAGTTTAACATTGTGTCACATGTCGCATCATGATTAGCCANACTAAGTTTGACATTGTGCCACATGTCGCATCTTGATTAGCCAGTTTTTAAACATTACACACTTTCCCGCCAACAACACTTTGAATTTTCAAAAAATGTCAAACTTCATGTCAACAAAAGAATGTACAAATGGCTTAATCCTAAATATTATATTATATAATTAATATTAAATAATTTAATTACAACTTGATTTGTGAAATAATAAAGTTAAAACCTGATTCTTGAATTTGAAAGCTAAAAAATATTTGTGGGTATAATTTCCTCAATTGTAAGTGTCCAAGTCTCCAACTCTCAAAGACCAAGTCCAACTTGAGTCCAAAATATTTTTTTCCTACAAATTTCAATCTAATCCCAACTTTACTTCACAATTCACCTAACACTCATTTTATTATGGGCAAATTAGACCCAATAGACTGAAACATTAACTAAATTGATTAATACACTAATAACTAATTAAATAATTTTAAAACATAATTAAAACGTTATAACATGATGTCAGCACGAAGTCGAGCGAGTCAAAGTCAAGCCCGAGAAATGGTCCGTTGATTATTGAAGGAGGTCACATGACACGGTCGAGAGCAAAGCAGGTGAAAGAGGTGATGAGATTGCTGGCTCAAGCTACAGTGGACGAAACGCTGATCACGACAAGCAAATGAACAAGTTTCGTACCGGGTTCGGGAGGAGAAACCAAATGGATTAACATGATTCAAGCAACGGACGAGGAAGCATAGTACATTTTGGTCGTGAATTTTTCCAAATTTCGCATAATCTTCTATTTAAGTTAAAAATATATTTTGTAATATCTTTTCCTAATTAAAAAACCCGAATTAAGGCCAAAAAACAATCCAAAATACCCAAGGAATATTTGTATTGAGTAAGAAAATTAACATTTTGTGTTATAATAATAACTCTTAATAACTCTCCGTTTAAACGAAAGCTTAAGAAGTTCTTCGTTGGATAAATCATGAACTTATCAAGATTCTTCTTGTGGCGTTCAAATCAACGGGGGTGAGATTCTCAAATATTTAATCAAAAGAGTCAACATATCGTTTGCGTATAGTTGGTTATTTTGATTCGTTATTTTCGAATCAAATCTAAAACTTTGATTACTTTGATTTTCTTGGGTTCGATTTCTATCTAATTATAGGTTTCGTAGTTCTTCGCTACGTGGGGTTCACATCAGTTGGTGTCAGATCTTAGGCTCCAAAATTAAGGTTATATCATTTTCTTTTTTCGTTTCAGTCTTTATTTCATTTTTCTTGTTCTTCTATTTTACTCTTTTAATCTGTAATTTTTTCGTCAAAAATTGAAAAGTTGTTTTTGTGCTCATTTTGTATCCAAATCAACTTTCGTTTTCTTTGCCGGTGTCATAGTTGAATTTCAAGTAAAAAAAAAATTGAAAGAAAAAATTCGGAAAAACATTCCGAAGCGAAAAGTCAAATTTTTAAAAAAAGTATATTTGTTATTATTTATCTCGAAAATTGCAGGCCAATTACGTTATCTATTGTGTAAAATTCAAGAACCACTTTCTTGGATTCAAATTCCATTCCAATCATCCAATTCAATTCATTTTATTTCTCGAGTCTTCAGAATTTTCAAAATTTCACTCAAAAAATTCTACTAGAATAATTACTGGTTGAGTTCGAATTTGTCCTTTGAAACACTTTGGTGAAAGTATTGAGTGAAAAAAGGCAGAGTGGTGAGATCAATAGAGGGAAAAAGCCGAATTGAGTGATACACGAGCGCACATTTGTGAGGCAGAAATAAATTTTAGAATTTAGGATGTCCGTCAGGGACGGATCAACACTAGGCCGAAATAACAACCAAACCAACATGTCGGATGAGATAATACGTAGGTTTGAATGGTTATGTGAAGATGTTCGGGATAGATTGGATAGACAAGACACGAGGCTTGCCATTTTGCATAGGAGAGTTCCAAATATACGGAGATAGGGTGGGCGTGAGCCTGAGATGGAGGTGCGTGAAGAATATGAATATGGGAGTGCTATGGATGAGGAGGCAGCAATCGATCCTAAAATGGGTAGGATGAGAAATAGAGGAGCTAGGCTTGAACGTAGGGGTAGAAACTTGGTTGGAGACAAGGTAGATGGGAATATGGGAAATGTAAAAATGTCCATTCCACCATTCAAAAGAAGGAGTGATCTGGAGACTTACTTGGAGTGGGAGAAAGGAGTGGGAGAAAAATGTTGAATTGATCTTTGATTGCCAAACTATTCAGAGGAAAAGAAGGTGAAGATAGCGGTCCTTGAATTCACCGACTATGCAATCACTTGGTGGGATCAAGTGGTGACAATGAGGAGGAGAAATAGGGAACAATCGATCAATACATGGGAAAACTTGAAAGCTATCATGCGGAAGAGGTTTGTACCTAAGGATTAAAGAGTGTTGAGGACTATCACAAGGAGATGGAGTTGTTGATGATTATGGCGGATGTGGAGGAGGATCAGGAGGCCACTATGGCCGGGTTTTTGAATGGGTTGAATCGGGACATAGGTAATGTAGTGGAGTTGTAACACTATGTGGAATTAGAAGGCACGCTACACATTACTATGAAAGTGGAGAGACAATTGAAGAAGAAGGGGACATCAAGGTACTCATCGGGTGCTTCGGTTCTAACTCATCCTTGAAATCGAAGTGGAATAACAAAAAAGGAGATGAGACTGTTTCTAGGGGTACAACTGAATTGCCAAAGGAAATGGAAGAAAATG